TGTCATTTAGTTGGAATAAGCCCACAGATTTATCCGTTGACGGACGTCAATTTATTAATACATGCCATTAATATTCATAAAAATTACTAGAAATCCGGATATAATAAAACTCGTCATAAATTGAGCACGATTACCTGTCACCAGGCTAATGCTTTAATGACATTTGCTCTCGCAATCAATACACCACCGTTTAATCAGTAGTTGTTGAGTTTTGAACAAGCTATTACGAAACAACGTTTAATTATTAGAGAAAACCCGTCGTCGGTGTTTCGTTCCGGTCCAAAATAAGAGCGGTTTTGTGTCAGTGTCAAACGCCCCATAAATCGTCATTAACTCTTTTATACTGGTGATGATCTCACCCAATCTACCAAAACAGGAATTCACAATCGAATATTAGAAAAAAACGGTTTTAAGTATTTATTTCATAAATACTCACGCATATTAATTATTCACGATTAGAAAGTGTGCAGTGTAATTTGAAATTTATGAAACTCCCATGTGTATTAATTGCTTAATTTAACGCAGTTGTATGTAAGCTAGAGAACCGCATGATTAGTTACCTGTATAATATGTATCGTATTTTATTTATTTATATTTGCACATTTCACACATTTTATTATATTTATATACTTCATTAAAAAAAATTTCATTAAAAGCTCAAAAAATGTACACATTTTTTTCGAATGAAGTAATAAATGGACGCAAAATTAAAAAAAAAAAATAGACAAAAAAATAGAAGAACAGTTGTATTCAAAATAAAAAGTATCGTTGTAGGGTTTCAACTGTTAATATTCGAGGTGAATTAAATGCCGTTGATTTTTATTCAATTGCGCCAATCAAAAGTCAATTTGCTGGGATCGTGAAAAGTGTCGATGACTTAAAATAGTAAAAATCAATTCGTTACTGTTGACACGAGAATTCACTCTGTAGGCGCAATCAATCCGATAGAAAACAAACACGTTTTATACATTTTATAGAAAAAGCATGCGGTGTTGTAACTGGCAAATACCATATCGCAACTGGACATAAAATCGTCAAGCAATATTTACGATATTAGAGAAAATTGAATAGTTAACGTAAAAATAATGCCAGAGATATAATAAATACAGTATAGGTAATATTTAACACATAAATGTAAAAATCATAAAATTATAAACATAAATATTTTTTTATGTACAAAATCTAACTCGAAAAGTTTATTAAACAAAAATTAACGAAACTATTTATGAGTAAACAGCTTCTTAGCATAGCAACCTATGCTCAGGCAAATGAGAAAGTAGATGTAAAGTCAAAATTATTACATTAAATGCTTAGAGGACCAGCTACTGGAAGACTAACTTTCTTAACACCAAACCTAGTTTTATTAACACATGCCCAAGAAGCTCGGGATTTATTTGTAGATGTTGCAATAAAGCTCGCAGCAAATTTATCATGTATATAACATGGACACATTTGGAACGACACAACATGGCAGAAAACGGCAAAATTATACATCCGGTTATGTACTTGGCATTTTATGACATTGCTTCCTATCGATCAGTTGTCTGAAGAGGCTATTGAAGCACGTAATATTCTCTTTGCTCCCTTCGATCAGAGTTCGGAATATACTTTGATATATTCTGCTCGAAGACAGCATCATAATCTACTTTAACGCTTGAAAATCTTCAATGTCATAAAAATCAGGAATTCTAGAAGACTGAAACATTCTAGACGTTGAAACGCCTAATATTATAATTGATTGAACATTAAGGTCTTGGAAGACGCAAGTAACCCCACCACGAACGAGTATTATGTATCATAAGTTGAATCGCTCTCCTCTGTAGTGCGAATAAATGCTTATCGGCAAAAGCATGGCCCATTGGAACTGAAAATATATGAAAATTAACACTTTCTCAAGACGTTCATTGAAATAATTGTAGCCAAGGCAACGAAGCAAAAACATGCAAGAGAGCAGGCTCTTCCCAAACAATTTGCAGTTTTAAACCTAGGAACCTATTTGATGCGAACATCACATCAAGGTTGCACCAGGTCGCAGTGTGAAAATCGTATTCACGGATTTAGACTAATTCAGAAGTAAATGTAAATAAATTCAGATGTAATCTGGCACATGTATATAACATGTCATCTTCATAAACATCAAGCGAATTCGGTATATCATTAATGACAGAATCAACCTCAAAGGAACTCCACAAAGCAGTACAAAAAGTTCCAGAAAAGTCAAAACAATCGCTTCAGTATATTGTGGCTGGTTGTAAGAACGGGTTTTTAGGAAACTGCTATTTGTTGCTAGATACACAGATTATTACAAGATCATAAACGCTCAAATTTTTAAGACTTGGGTTGAAATGCAATTAATTGCTGCTTTAACTAAAATTGAGAAAAAAAAAACTGTTTATTATAATGGACAATGCTCCATGTCATTCAATGACCATTTGCGAAGTTAATATCCAGTAACATAAGCAATAAGTGTTTGAATCTTCTAACAAAGTAGGGTTATGGGCTCAGATTATTCCATTGCTTTTAAGCATAGATAAATTATAAGTAGGTACTATAAGCAAGGACACGAATATGAGCATCGAAAGGTGATGGTTAAGAAAGGCAGAAAATATCACCAGTATGGCAAAAAAGCCTTGTTCATTGGTTGGTACTATGGAAGCGGTTAACATTTCCATATCACAATCAATTACAATAAATAATAAGATTGACTTGGGCCTTAATATATTCAAGACTGCTGTTGAAGATGACATCAAATTGAAAATATTGACGGATTATTTCATATCAAACAAAAATTACAGCTATCAAGTAATAGAATGGTTAGATAAACTACTGGATACTAGTGATTAACATATTCTGTCTATTTAAAGAGTATATGTTTCAAGCCTTCATTAAAAAGTTATGGACGTTATGGAAGTTGCTTCATTTTTCAGAAAAATTTAGAAATATGCATAAATGTGTCGCAAAAAAATGTCGCATCGGTATGGTAAAAAAAGATGTAATATGGAAGCAACTTTTATATCTGTAATAGAAAGGGCACAGAAGTCATTTAACGGATCGACATGTTCACTGCAAGACATCTGAAAGAAAATAGATTTCTTCCTATTTAAAATTTTTTCGTGGAACTCACTATCATGTTTTTCTTGGAAAATATCAGAAAATTTCACATTTCTGCCCTAGTAATTCGAAATAAACCTCAGTTCATGTCCAAAATGAACTAATTGACATTTGCGGCTAAGTTTTAAGAAAACAAATCGTTAATGATGTGGAGAAATGTTACGGTTTTTCTATTTTGGCTGACAAAACTTCTAACATATCAGGAAAAGAGAAGTTGTCCAGTATCATTTAGTGTAAAAGCTAAAAAGATTTCAAATCATTAGAAGTTTTTCTATACGCATTATCTAACTTTGGGTTGGACATGGAAAATCTTATGGATCTTGAAGCATCCTAAGAGAAACTTAAAGATTTCGCTATGAATGCAGAGTGTAAAGCAGCTATAAGAACGAAAGCTCATCAAAAGAGTCTCATGGCAACAACTGCAAAGGACCATGCAAAAATAGATCTTGTCATTAATGCTCTTCAAGGTGTTGGCATATATTTTCTTGATGTTACGAAGCATAAGAACCAAGCAGTTTTTAAAAATTACAGAAGCAACAATTAAGGAACATATACGAATCCAACATATTTGATAAGTAAACAGTTTATAGAATAAATTTATTCCATCCAAAATCTTTGTAAGGAAGTGTCTTCCTGGATACAATATTGGAACTATCATTTCCAATCGAATTTGATGGAATTTTTTCCTGCAGCAGGTAATTACTTTTATGACTTTTCAGCCAACGACTTGTTCCGTTGCTAAAAGTCTTAGCACATTGAAGAGAATGAAGATATGGATTAAGTCGGCAATGTCTGACGAATGAGTAAGTGTGTCCACATGAAGTAAGAAGATTTTGCACAGATTCTGCTAAAACTAATTCTTGTGATAAATGATTAGTTATGGGTTGGGTGATCAAAAAGATAATATTTTGCTTACCTGAATTGAAGATAGATCAGTTCAGTGTGCCTTAAGACTTCTCATAGTCTTGTTAATTAGAAATTTGTCTTAAAATTTGTCTAAACGTTAACTCTACGTTTAGAATTAATGAAACAGGAAATAAATATCATAATAATAAATATGAAGATAAGTTTTGATTAGTCAAAAATTAAGCATAGTGGATTCCAGAATCGTATTTGCAAAAATTACTCCAAGGGAATAATCTAAATTTAAATAAAACTATTTTTTTTAATGTATTAGTTAATTCTTTTTAATTTTGCCTGATAAAAAAAGTCTCAAATACTATCGTAAAATCCAAACCTCAATTTTAGTTAAAACTTTATTTTTATAATCGAAAAACCGTCGCACCATAAAATTTGACATTAACCGTAGAAATACGTGCCGATAAAGCGTAGATTAATTAAGAAGTCGCAATTTGCATACTACATCGTACCCGTCCGCAAAACGGGCAAACCGCAAAGGGCGTCCGCTAGAACGCGAAATTATACAGGCTCTCGCGCAAAAAGGCGGCACTAAATTGCGATTACAATTGACGTTTGTCTCTTTATTTCGAATGATATACGGTAATAATATGGGGCATTAAATGTACAAGTTTGTAGTTACAAGCCCCTCCCATCACATCAAGTGGGCCGAGCTCCCACTTGACAACTACCGCCGCCTGTCGACGAGTCCCGTACTGCCAAACAGTAGTCTCAACGCAGGGTGTTCACACTGCTTAGAAAATATTCAAAATATTTATTAATTTTACGTGGGAACGTTCAAAAATGTTACGAAATATTGATGAAATGTTAATTTCTATTGATTTTTATGATTAAAAAGTTCCTAAATCGGTTTGTTTTGTTAGGCAACATTTTTAGGTTAAGTGGAGGGTTTTTTATAAAACTCGCGATTTGTGGGCTGTATCGATTGATTTTTTATATCGGTGGAATAATATTTAAAGTAACCAACTTACCTGCAACAAATTGAGGTCGAACCGGTTGATATTCTTGGTTTTATTCCTCGATGAGTGTGTAACGTTGACAAAAGCACGCCGTACTCGGCACCGGGTAACCGTAGAGAGGCTACCTTAGGCTCAAACCGGTTCGGCGGTCGTAAAGTAGGCGTTCTCTTTAAAGACTCCACCCACCTGTCAAAGTGACCGTTAAGAATGCGCAGTGGACAAAGCGGTTTTCGGGAAGAGAGAGGTGTTTGTGAGATGTGTTTGGTGTGCGGTGACGAGAGATGACATTGTGTTAGGTTAGAATAAGCGTGCGTAGGAGTGAGAGAGATATTGTGAAAGAGTGAGAGATCGGATGGCGCGGCGTCGCGACGATCGGACAGACGCCGGCGCCAAGCGTCGAAACCGTTGCGCCGCGCTCCAGAGGATCGTGGTAGTGTGTCCTTCGCAGGATGCCGGAGTGGGGTCGAACGAGCCGCCGTTCTGTCAGTCACTCAGTCACTGAGCTCGGTGCACGTTCGAACCGGCACCTGTAACGCCCGCTTACGGAAAACACAACAACAATCGTCGGCGTTGTTTTTGTGTTTTGTGCGAAAAAAAAAACAGAACCATGATGTGACAATAATAAACATTTAAGAATTGTTAATCGAGTATACCGTACAATAATATTTTTTGCAAACCAACAAAAATAAAGAAAAATTAGAAAAACCGTATACGAAAAAGAAAAAAATCTCAGTGTGCTGTGTTCCCCCACTTCTTCGCTTTTTATCACACCCCCCTCCCTCCTCGATACCAAATGATTATCTGCTAAATTTATTAATTATGTGTTAGTGTGCCAAATCTAAGCTTCATAATAAATTCTTCATCAAAAATATTTTAATTAAAAACTAGTTTTTTTGTGACTGATAAAAAAAAAGAAAAAAAAAATTGTTTGAAAACTTTAACGTCGGCAAAATTCGTCGGCAACAACAGATCAACGTTCTGAGGAACGTCTTCAAAATGCCCAGGCGCAAGCAGGATTGTCCCAAACGAATGAAATGTAAGTTTAGAATATTTTAGTTTTTCACTGTAAATAACGAAAACCAGACCATGTGTGCACGGACCGCGTGTTTTGGGTCGATAAGCGGTACTGTGTGCGTGAGTTACTGAGGAACTGAGCAAACGCGTGCGAACCATTCATCGTTCCCGTACACGTCTCTCTAACTACGACGACCCATTCATGCCGTTTCCTCCACGCGCACTTCTAAAAAATTCAAAAAAGATAATAAAAATAAAATAACTATCTCGGCTCGTGACCGTGTTTATTTTCGGATGAGAATTTCGGACAAACATCTGCTACTTACATTACGTTCAACCACCCAGAGGAGTCCTCATTCCGTAAACACAGATTGTTAATAGAAGTAATAAATTCTTCGACTATGTATCGTAAACAATTTTCGTATTTTCAAACGACATAATACCACAAGATAATACCATAGTTTATTATCGAGAAGAATTCTCAACAGAAATTGACGCCAAATTCCATTGAAAATATCTCGGGTATTTAACAAAACTTTACAAGACTCGACGCGGTTATAATCGTCTGCGGTTTTGCGAAAGTAAGCTGATGCGCGCTGTGTTCTTCTTCATCTTATCTAATAGAGAAATCGTACGTAAACCAACAAAATAGAGACGTTGTCACATGGGAAACACACGTGCATTTCAATAAATACATATTCATTAAATGGTGATAGACATAACTAACCGACTGTTGTAATCGATAATAAAATAAAGTGTTTATATCAAAATTTTTATCATCAATATTATTAATACAGCAATTGAGTAAATTAAAATTTATATGTTAATATTTCATTGAAATTTTATAAACTAAAGTGATATTGAAATTCCTTTTTGCCATCGATACAAAATATCATCATATAAAGAATTAACATTAAATAATTCCAGAACCCCTATCATTTTAAATTATTCAATAATTATTAATTTATAACAGATGTTGCTGGAAAATTGATGATCTTATTCTAAACGTTAGTCTACACAAACATATTTTAAGATATAATTGTTAAAGTTTTCTTTGCAAAAGATTCACGTAGCTAAATTGTTTTTTGAAAGATTTCGAAATCAGAAAAATCTTGGGCTGAATTATATTATCTTGGGAGTCGGAAATCGAAAGACAAAATAATCAAAAAAAGCAAAAATTAAATTTATTAGAGTGTGCGAAACCGTCTAAGTACAGTATCATTGTAAAATTAATCAGTCATTTCAGACCTTGGTCACGTCTTCACTTTCCTCAGTGTACTAAAACTTCTTTCAATATAACAAGTTGTTGGATGTAAAGTCATAAATGTAATAATTGCTTGAAAGTAACTGAAAAAAATTCAGTTACTTTCAAAGCGTCATGTTGGAATTCGCTTTCCTCGTCATCACTGGAACCATGTGTTTACTTCTTTACAAAGAATAAATTTGTTTGGCAGACTACAATTTAGTAATCAAATATGTTAGATTTGCGAATTTTCTTCAAATCGGCTTGTTACTGAAGTTATAGTAAAATCTAAATATGGTATTTCGCATTTGATACATTATGTAGCTGATGAGGTTTTGTTCCTGGAGGTGCATTATACTCTGGATTCATAGCAAGATCTTCATGTATATTTTGGCAAAATGTTCATAAAAAGTTCGAGTTGCATTATGAGAAGTTTGAGATTCCCGAACTGACCATGAGTCATTAATAACAAAATTGAGTCCGTATAGAAGAAACGAAGGCAGAAGTTTACCTTGGGATGCTTCATTTTATTACTTTGTTGCACATCCATCGAACCCAAAACCCACAAATTTATCCATATTCAATCGACAATTAGATAGTGCATTTAGAACGGTTGAAATCTTGCGAATTCTTCTTTGCACCGGATGATGATAAACAACTACTCTTTCCGGATATGTTAGAAACTTTGTTAGTTAAAATTAAAAAAAACCGTGGGAAATCAACGATTTGCTTTCTTAAAACCTGGTTAGTACGCAGTTGTTAATTAGTACTTTTGAATAGGAACTGAAGTATTTTTGAATTATTAAGAGAGAATTCATAGTAATCTTATGACCAGCTTTCACTTTGACGTTGTAATAAGTGCACGACATTTCCTGACCAAAATGCATTCCTATGAAAAGCGAGATCGTGAGTTCCACGAAATATTATTGTTTGACTCCTCCACTTGTCGCCACTTGTCGCAGTAAAACTGAATGACATCTCTCGATTTTTGTGTCACTTAAATGCGATATTTTTATTTGCGTCAAACTCACTCAATTTAGACAATGAAGAAGATTTTTCTGTAAAATTTGTGTTTTTTTCTGCCCAACGTATGGTTATCACACTTTTTATTCTTTGAATCAAGTTACAAATCATACAATATTAACACTTATTTTGGCGTTTTGAATTTACTTTTACATCAGTTTTACAATATCAATAACTTCAATTCGATGTGATTTTTAACTCCAGTCTTGTCTACATAAAAACCGAAATTTAACTCATTACTGATTGAAAATGATTGCGACGAGAAAGTTTCAACAGATGCTATTACACCAGACGAAGTGAAGGCTTATCTGTAATGGTGGTGGTTCCGTAAAGTACGTTAATTTGGATTTTTTGGATTTTCACCTTGATCTCTTCAAATAATATGATAATCATTACATCAAATAACACTAACAACCTCAACTATAATAATAAAGTACAATTAAGTGATCGAAAGCAATTTATATTTTAGCCTTTTTTCGCAAATAAAATACTATATGGTTTTGAATAACATAATAATGAACTAAGTGAATTAGTTACCTATTTTTCGCTAAATGGATTCAGCAGCTCTTGAAGCTGTACTTGTAGTTAGCCGCTTTTTTCACCGATGCAAACCATGTGTTGGAACCAGTTAAAAGTTATGTAATAGATATTATTGTAATAGATAGTGACCACAGTGATTCAGAGATTGAAAGTATAAGTGAAGAGTGGGCTATGAAGCCGCCTAAAAAAGAAATCAGTAAAAGAAACATCACTAAAAGTAAGCAATATTTTCACACCTGTATGTATTAATCACTGGTTTATGCAGAATTACTCTATAATTTTAATAGGTTTGAATTGAAGTATCTTACGATATATGTAGTTGTTTGATGGTGAGTCAAGTTTAAAAAAACAGACCCACCGGTGAACGAAAATCTTTGCAAACATTTTTGATTGTTTATCAAAACAATCGGTTTATCAGGCTTAGAAAATGTCCGAGTGTAATAAAAGTGCTGTACCACTTTATAGAATTTCTATGAAACGGGTTGAACTGATTACAAAACACCTGTCTCATAGAGAAGCTTATTACCTCTTGTAAGCAAGGGAAAGAAAATCGCAAAAACGGAAAGAAAAACGGAAGAAATTTGATAATTCGAGATCGGACACGTGTCAAGACTGAACTTGATTGCTCAAGCAAAGATAAAGCAACGCTTGAGGCATTAAAACGAGAGAAAGAACTTCAGCACAAAAATCGCTAAATCAACTAAAGACCTGAGGTAATATTTTTTGACTACCATCAAGTCAACATATATGCTATTTTCTCTGGGTAAAGTTCTCTGGACAAGTTGACAACACTCCATTTTTACGTATGCACAAAAAACATCCAATGAACTCATCAGTTTTATGAAATTATAATTTGGGTACATTACAAAGATAACTAGCAAAAGGTTCATCAAAACTCAACAAGACATAATATTGAACTACGCTGACACACTGAAGCGCTTTTTCAATAACTTCTTATATCATTATTAAGAACAGTAGAAGAAAATGTGAATATTTAATTGCGAAGTTAAGTTTGTTAAGTCAAAGTATTCATTTTTATTGAATAAAATCGAGGGATTATTAAGTGCAGTGAAACCGTTTCCGTGTTAATGTCATGGAACGTTTAAATAATGGGGGCGGGGTATATAGCAATTCACAGCTGCTGAAGGTTGCAAAATATAATGATTTCATGATTTTGGCACAGAAGTATGTGAGGCATTTTTACAAGGCATTTAAGTCAGATGTTCATTTCACTGCAGGAAAGGACGGTAAATCCACAGAAACGAAAATATACCCGGTATATGAGTTGGAAATATTTTGGTGTAATATTTTTTTGAATGTCGTACAAGTTTTATTATGGTCGGGTCGTATGCATAAACTTGAAAATCATGTTAATCATACTATAGTTATTTAAAATATAAGATCAATTCCTTTTCTATAAGATCAACTTCTGCTGAGTTACTTTGATTTTTCCTTGTATTTTTAACCATATTTGAATGAAAGGACTCTGTTGTATCATAGTAGCCATTATAAAAGTAGTTAGCAGCCCTCTCTGTATCATAAAAATGTTAATAAATACCACGTTACTTTTTATCCATTCTTTTCGA